AGGGTATGCAAGTACACGACTGTTGATCTTATCAATATGATGACATCAATGTCATGTTTAGCATTTTAAAATTCAAGGTATTCTCAATTGAGTTATTTGATACATTTGAATGTCATTTATCTAAACCCGAAATTCCATTATTTTTTTCTTTATTCATATATACCTCAACCACTACATGACCCACAATCTTCAAACATACACACAACTTCTCATAAGGCTAACCCCACCTATTGAACCAACAAACCATAGAAGAACATGTCATAGTAGGCCTTCCATGAAAAATATACGATCCTTTCGGTGATGACTAAGATGACGTCCTCATTGGTTGTGTGGATGAAGATGATGAAGAACCACAACTAAAACTTAACATTCAACCTACGCAGCTCACCTATAATCCACTCTAACAATTCATCTAATTTTAATCCACCATAAATGGCATTGATATTGAATTTGCCTATGTTTTTTATTGAGATACACTTGTCTACCCATTGAAATACTATTTGGTGGTCAACTTTTCAACACTAAACAAGATGTAATAGACGCAGGTTTCAAGTCAATCTAAACTTGTATTGTAATGTATTCTTCTATTACATGACCAGAGGTGTAGAGCAATAACGCATATCAAAGAGCAATATTGACAAAAAATGAGGTTGGAAGGCATCCATACCTATGTGTCCCCATTAATCTCTCAATAGCATAACAAGTTTGGATCATGCCTTATTTCTTAAATAATGTAGGAAATTGTGAATGTTAATTGTTCAACCCTTGTGTCAAGAATAATTGCCTACATTAGGTCTATCCAATAATACATTGTCACATATTGAAAGACATGGCTAGCCAAGGAATTAGCCATCCAGAAACTATATGGAAATTGGTAGAAATCGTACATGAAGCTTTAACATCTTCTAAAAGCTTTACAAGTATATGTTATTGGATTCATATAAAAGATGAACACGCATCTAACATACTATGGACAACAACTGGTTGAGGATCACATCTTATTCAAAAGTGTCTTATGAACATTCAAATCTTGTAATGATGGTTTTCAGTACTGCAAGTCATTGGTGCAAGTGGATGGAACATTTATGTATGAAAAATATAGAGGAACATTATTGGTTACAATAGCATAAGATGAACGCAATAACAAAGTTCCAATAGCCTTCATTATAATGGAGAGGAAAACAACTAATGTTTGGTTTTTCTTTTTAAGGAACCTAAGGAGATAAGTCAACCCACAAGATGAACTATGCCTCATTTTTTATCGTCATGAGTCCATACGAAATGCTTACTTAAAAGAGGGCAATGGTTGAACTGAAAAAATTATATGCATATGTACTACATTCAACATATTTCACAGAATTTCATTAGGATATTCAAGAAGAGTCCACTGAACAAGGATGTTGTGAATATGAGTAAGTTCTATTCTTTTTTAAACTTATTAATTTCATGAAGTATGGAATGATTGAAGTAACTATTAATTGATTAATCTTCAATTGTTTTATAAACAAAATATGGAATGATTAAGTACAGATTCTTCTACTGTTACAACATAGTAAGAAATGAAGATCTAAAAGTAGTACAATGGTTAGAAAAAATCTTAAAGGTGAAGCAGACACTAGCTTAGGACAACGGTGGATGTTGGGGAAACATGACCACCAACCTGACAGAGTCAATTAATTTCGTCTTGAAAAAAAGCAAAGAAACCTTTCTATTTTTTCTTGATGACGATAACTTGTTGTAATATATTTTTTACTGAAAAAGGTAGAGAGGTGGCTACCATAACTAATGACTGCTAGATACATATACTCTAAAGTGATAGTTAAAATTTTGGAAAATACACATTCAAAGGAAAACACCCTAAAGTGAATGAGTTTGACCGAATCAACACAAGATTTCTGGTGAATTAAACCATCAATTTGAGAGAAGTCAAAATAATAAGACGATTTATCATAAGATTAGAGGAATCATGGTTTGATTGTGGTAAGTTGCAAAACTTTTATTTACGGTGTTCGCATGTAATTGTTGCATGCAAACACACATATCATGATTTTGTCAATTACATAAATTTTGTATATACCGTAGCACAAGTCAGTAAGATCTATGAATTATATATAAGACTACAAAATAAAGATTATTGATCATCTTACACGAGATCAACTTAAACTACAAATTCAAAAATAAAAAAAAATTTCAAAAAGTCATCACAAATCAAGTTGTATATGAAAAAAATTAAACATTATAAAAAAATTAATTTTATCCCAAACTTTATTTTTACCATCGTACTAATGCAATGTATCATAATATTCTTCATGAACTTAAAATATTCTATACATCATACATCATGTCGATAATATTATAATAAAAAAAAATTAAGTATGCATTTTTTTATTTTAATATCTTATTGTACGTGTTATCTAATCTTATAATACTGTTTTTAACGTATTAAATGAAATAACAAATGTAAATCAAGATTATTTTATTTTCAATATTACTTAACCATATCAAATAAAATAATTTTAACAATTTCTAATATTTATATTAAAATGTAAATCCACAATTTTAAATATATAAATATATAAACGAGAGATAAGTGTCTCGGGTGAAATGCGAATATGGATAAGTAGTGGCGGATTTTGATCATTAATTTTGAGGGGGCTAAATAATATATTATTAATAAATTATAAATAAATATAAAATGAAGAAAAAAGATAAAAGAGTAAAAAGATAAAATGATAAATATATACTTAAATAAATTAAATGATCATTAAGTTTGAGCGAACAAAATTATAAATTAAATGAGAGTTACAAAATTGAGAAGGGACTAAAAGGATAAAATTGTAAATATACAAATAAATATATTAGATGTTATTTAAATTTAAAAGACTAAAATCTTAAATTATATAAAAATTACACAATGATTCTCTTAGTTACAAAAAAGATTGGAGAATGTGAGGATGAGGTTGCAGTTGTTTACCGTGAGACTGAGAATGGATGTTCGATGAACTGGTAAAAAAAAACATTTTTCTTGAGAAAGGAATGGTGTACAAGCTTCCAGTAATTGAATTTGTACCTTAGAATTTTCTCTTCCTTAATCACTCATAGTTCCATCTCTTTGGTATTTTCTCACAGTTTTTTTATTTTCACCGTCTTACGCCACATTATTGCCAAACAGGGTCTTTTGTAAGTTTCTTCTTAGTACAAACGTGTTCAGTAAAATAATATCAATAATAGAAGATTAAAAACACATATGTATATAAACATATAAATTTATAAATATTAGAACATCTAAATAGATAATAATAATAATAATAATAATAATTATAATTATAATAATAATTATTATTATTATAATAATAATAATAATAATAATAATAATAATAATAATAATAATAATAATAATAATAATAATACCTGCTGGTGTATCACTCAGAACTGGGAACTGAGTTGTGATCCTTTCTCTAGTTTTACTTTAACATTTTTAGTAGGAGTCCAGTTTTTCTAAATATCGAATTCTAATTTAATAATTAATCTATTTGGATTAAAAAAATATTGAAATAAATATATTTTAATAAATAAACATTATTTTTATATTATTTTAGAAAAAAATTGTTAAATGTTACCAACAAAATTAACCTGACCCATATAGTAATAAATGTTAGATGACAAAAGACACGGACACAGGAAAAAACATATGGTTGTGTACGTTTCTTATCCGATGTACTCACTTCTCTCTATTCTCACATTATCATATAAGAGTAGTATGGATTTTTTTTTAATAATTTTAATTTTTTTTTATTTTTATTAAATTATTTTATAAATTATTATATTAATAAAAGTGAGTTGGTAGAAAGGTGGTATGATTTCTAGTTGGCAAAATATCATTACTTTTTTATTAATTTGTTATTCAACATTTAAACTTTTAAATCCAAAATTTAAACGTCACAAAATTATTTTCATAGTTTACTCTTCAGTCATTTAGAGAAAGGTCAAATCCATAAAATAATATATTTTTATTTTTATTTCATTTTTCAAAAAATAATTCTTCACTCTTTTCTGAATACATCGACAGTAGCAACTCGAGGGGATCACATGGGTTGTGTTTAACCCTCACACATCTTCAGTCTCCAAAAGAGTTTGATGTGGACCCAACTTTTTGAATATTGTATAAAGAAAAGGAAAAAGTTAAACACATTTTTATATTATTTATCTTTTAACTTACTTCTCTTTATACATGACCTAGTTCTCTTAACTTTATTCTCATTATTTGGTCTCCACTTTTTTATATGACCCTCTTACTTTAAGATGAAATAACGCCAAATTTTAAACTTAATAAAGTAACTTATTTAATTTATTATTTGCTTTGCTGATTTTTTAAATTTCATATGACCTATATAATATTGACTATATTTTTTTATAAAATTTTAATAGAAGAAATCGTTTAACTCTCATAGATGTATATGGTGTTACTTTTTATATATGTCCGCATTCTACATTGAAAAGGGACTATTCCAATTTAATTAATTAAAAATAAATAATATTTTAACTCTATTATAAGACACTTTAAATAAAATCACGTAAATAAAAAAATTTATTTATCTTATTTTTTACTTTGTTAGAAAAAAAGATTTATTAAAATTATAAAATACCTTACATTCTCTTGGGAATGATCTAATGAAAAAACTGTGGAAATATAAATTTTTTTTTTTGGTTCATTTGATACATAACTTCCCCTAGCTTTGACTAGCAGTTTCAGTTGGAGTCTTGAACAAAGACAAAACAAAACAGAGTGCATGAATTCGCGGTCACGCAATCAATTCTTAGCCATTGATCCACCACAAAAACTCGTTTCACCTCGTGTTTCGACGCACACTCACGATTAACACCCCACTATTGTTCATTTTCTTCATCGCAAAGATACACTATATATTGTGCAATGCCCTTAAGGTCCAAACATTTTCCCATTTAATAGTTATTCACACACAAGCATGACTAATTGTTCCATGTTGCTAGCCAAAGGTGGTGAAGACCCATCTAGAGAGAGGGTTGTAAAGAGTGGTGAGTATAAGTGCAAGACTTGTAATAAGCAATTCCTTTCGTTTCAAGCCCTTGGCGGCCACCGAGCTAGCCACAAGAAGCTGAAACGTATGACTCCAAACCTTTCGTGTTCGACCGTGACACCGAAGTTGCACCAATGCTCAATCTGTGGGCTCGTGTTTGATATTGGACAAGCGTTGGGAGGGCACATGAGAAAGCATAGAGTTTCTTCAAATGATACCTTGCAAATTCATGACCAAGATGTGCCACAATCTAATGGCACCAAAAGGCTTCGCTTGTGGTTCGACTTGAACTTGACACCGTACGAGAATGATCTGAAACAAAATTTAATAACACCCGATTTACATTTGTTCATTTGATTGGAGTATTTTTGGTGCAAGATCTTGATGGATTTTGTTTACTAGTTTACATTTTTTTTTGTTTCTTGTTAAATTCATTTTGTAGTTGGAATAAGTAATTAAGGCGTATAATATTGTAGTGGGAGAAACTTGAATCATCCCACAAATATTTGTCTTACAAGTCATTTATGGGACTAAATTTTAGATTGAGATTTTTTTGTCTTTAAAATTTATAATAAAAAAATGTGTTTAATGGAATCTAAACTAAAAATTATTATAATTCAAATGAATTTAACTATTAGAGTGATATACTGCCGATCAATATTTGGCTCTGATACTACTTGTTAGGTCTTTAGAGGGGAATTCACTGGGAAGAAATACAACCAATGAGACAAGAATTCAACCCAATAAGGATTGACACCACTCTCGACTCAAAACCTTAAAGCATTGAGTTATGGGTCATACTTCCTTATATATTGCTCTCAATTTTCTCATTCTTACACAATATAAAACTTACAATCATACTTTGATTCCCAATATAGATTTCTTTGTTCTTCTATCTCGTTTCCTTTATTTTTCACTCTAGCACACTGCTCTCTTGCTCATTATTTCTACATGAATTTCAATTCATCTATATATTTTTTCAAAACACGATTAAAAGAATATCTATTTCTCCGTTGTCGGAACATAGTTACTTTCATGTTATAGTATCAAAGCTCTTATTTTAAAGAGTTTTATTGTGTAACCCTGATCTCTTTCTTCTTTCTTTATTGTTCTTTTCGTTTCTTTCCAAGTTTTCTTTGCTTCTTCTTCTCTTGTTATCATGACAGATAAACATCTTACACAAAGTTTCATCTACCAATTTTTGATGTCACTAGATATCACTCATAGAGTCAGGTCCATGATTACAACTTTAAGCGTAAGGACAAGGTGGAATTCATTCTTGGTACTCACCCCAACCAATTAAAGAAGATTCAAGCTTTTCTGTCTAGAATCATTATGACAATATTCGTCAGGGCACAATTTGGATGGATAAAGTTCTTGATATTTAGAACGACTTGAAGAACATATATTCCCAAGGTGATATGTCACGTATCTCAAATCTTCAAATGGAAGTCGTTACTCTCAATCAAGGTGATCTTACCATTTTAGAATACTTTACAAAGTTTAGAGTTATCTGGGATGAATTGAATAATCTTCGGTTGAATCCTATTTGCACTTGCAAGACCAAATGCAATTGTCATGTTTTATCTACCATAGATGAAAGAAAAAAAAAAAGCAAATCAAACTATATAATTCCTCTATGATTTGAATAACCAATACAATAACATCAAATTGCGTGTTCTTTTAATGGAATCAATTCCTTCAATATCAAAAATCTTTTCTTTCATGGTCCAATAAGAAAGACAATTATCTATTAGTATTGTGGTTATTACTATCAAGAGTATTAATCATATTACAACAATTGTCCCTATCACTTTCACCTATTGTGGTAAAATCGGGCATACCGAGACTATCTACTAATGGTTTTCCTAACCAATAAGGGAAGAATTCTAAAAGTTCCAATATCAAGAAAGTTTGAACACATTGTGGTAAAAGTGGTCACACCATGTCTGCTACAAGAAACACGAGATATCCTCCTAACCATAAATTTTATAATGAAAAATCAAATTGATTGAAGAGATTAAGAAAATGTAAAAAAGTTAAATGTAAGAGAAAATAATAATGTAATAAATTGATCGATTTAAGAGATAGAAAAAGATAAAAAAAATGAAAAGTGAGTAGAAGAAAAGTAAAAAGTGTGAAATATAGAAGAAATCTTATAAATAATGTGAGAAAAAAAATAGTATTAAAAAATTAATATTTTAGGTTTTAAATTTAAATATAAAATCGGAATGGGGATTGCATTACGTATTCATGTCCCATTCCCGACTTTTTAAAGCAAGAAAAACTCGCTTCGTTCTCGATCAATTCATTTTTTTTATCAAACTTAAAATGGGACGAATTAATCCCTACGAATACGAGGTTTAATTATTATTCATATATTTTGTGGTTTTGTTTATGTAGAGAGAATCATGTTTAAATACGATAAAAAAAGTTACAAAGAATTATAAAATCAAAATAAAAAATAAGAAAAATAAAGCTTGAAGAAGATAAGGAAGAATATAAATTCAAACATACAAAAAGTTTTCATAATTTTTTTTATATCATTAACTCTCATATGTTATAGATAATAACAACATAAAAATTATATTGTAAAAGAGTCAATGGCTCGGAGATGAATAATCCTAATATTTAAGAAATTATATATATTTGTATAAGATTTAATGTTTGTCCCAATTTTTTTTATTCAACCTAATCTATTTTTTATTTGAATCTTTCAAGTGATTTATTTTATTAAACCAATTTTAACAAGTTAGTAGTTAATGTATATATACTGTGTTAGTTTAATGGAAAATGATACTTTGACAACTCAAATTCATACAACTCCTATAAACAACCCTCTTTTAATATTATAATAATAGTTTTATTTTAATTTTTATTTATATTCAATCATTTTATAGATTATTATATTAATAAAAGTGAGTTGTTTGAAGGGTTGTATGGTTTCTGGTTGTCAAAATATCACCACTCTAGTTTAATCTATTCTCAATGGCAAGACAATATATCAGGGGATGATCATCGCTTTCGTTGTTCCATAAATATCAACAGAGACTGGACGCTTGTCAAGAAGAAGGTCAAATCTAAATGTTCTTTTAACTTTCAAAACTTATCAGTTGTTGGTTTACTTGAATTTTTTAAATGCCATCTTTTTCAATCCTTCATCTATGTATATATTTATTTTATATATTGATGATGGTGTGATTCTATCTTTTTATGTCTGTATATAAAGTCATTTATGTGGCTTCACTTTATAACTTCCACATTTACGAGAGTTGGTTCTTGATACGATATGAAAGCCTTTATGATGAAGTAGTTAGGATTTTGGTTATTTTTGCTCAAATTCTTTTAAAACAATGTTTAGTTTTTGGCCGAAAGTACATGGTTAATTTGTGCATTGTGGATGCTTAAAGATCAAAGAGTTAAGATGACAACATGGTTAGTAATTTTGAGTCATACATGTGTATTTGATAATTAAATGTATTAGGATTATTATTTTATTAATTAAAATATTAAAGTGGTATAATTAATATAAAGTTTATGACTAAAGACATTTATGTCATGAAAGGTTAATTATGTAAATATCATTAGTGATATTATAATTTGACGAGGGACCAAATTATAATTATCAAATTTAGGGTAACTGATGGAAGTTACCAATATAAGGGGTTATGATCCATACTTGTAGAGGGAATTTAATGCTCGTACAAATTATTATTTTTACAACATTATTTTTTTATCTTCATCAGGAGAGAAACCCAAGAGGTACTAAGGCTCTTTACATTTGGAAGATCATAAGAAAAAAAAAAACAAGTTTGATCTTCATCATTTTTTTTTTCATTCCAATGGTTAATTTATGTACACTTCCGTATTTAATTTTTATCAAGACTATAGCTTTTGGCCAAGTGGTAAGCATTCGATCCTAATAATTGGTATGAGAGCCACGTTATACTTGATTCATGTATAATTTTGGAAATTTTGAAATTAGGGTTTCAAAATTGAGAATTATTAATTTTCCATGATTATGAGTTGTAATATATGGTGAAATTTATTTATCTAATTACTATTATTTTTTGTGATATGCAATCAATAACATTAAGCCTAATTTGGGAATGATGCAATTCAATAATCAATGAATCTTAATTTAATTATGGGAATCCCGCACTGCAATATAATTGAAAGTCGCGCTTACATGCATTGTTTGTATGTTTATTCAATTTTGGATTTTGTGTATCAATTATCAAAATTTGGCTATTGGTTAACCTTTTAAATGAATTAATTGGATCAAGAAATCACCAAAGTGACATTCCTTGTGTAGATGGTTCATATAAAATGTTAAATGTTTGTGTGTATGTTTATCCATGCTATTGTTAATTGACCTAAAGAAAGATTAACACTTGGTCGGTTTGTATACACACCTTTGATGGTAAACATGTGATAATTACGAGGTTTTACATGTGAATGATAAATCAATCCAAAGAGATGTTTATTATTTGACATATTTTATTATCAATGTTTGATCATTACAACAAAGATATCACTAGCAATGTCCAAAGATTTGATATTGATGGTGCACTAGGTATCTTGCGATGGGTGATGTCATTATTTGAACATATTGAATAATTTTTATTTCATTTTTGTGTGAGCATAATTATATTATTTGTTTTATTCTCCTTTCAGCTACTATTGCTTCAATATCTCGTTAATTTGAATTCAGGGAGAAAACTTTTTTTTTCAAAAAATATATTTCTAGAATTAATTTTTTGGAAATACATCTCTATTGATAGATATGGAATACAGTTCCAATTTGGTGTTCTGAAATGTGTTTCCAGAAATATCAATCTAAAAATGCATTTTAGATTGGATGTTTCGAAATGTGTTTCTAGAAAAGTTTATCCGAAAATGTTTTCCAGAAAGCACTTTCCAAAATACATTTCCGGATTGACTTTTTCGAAAACATATTCCAGAACACCTAATTCGAAACGCATCCCGGAATAGATGTTCAGGAAAAGTCAATCCGTAAACGCATTCTAGATTGGGTGCTCCGAATTCAACCTCATTTTCGTGATATTATTTTAGATCAAACAATTTGGATTATTTGAGTGTAAACATGCAATTTATACAAAATATTAACAATTATTTATTTATCTTTAATTATTAGAAAAGTCCTTTAATGAAAGTCATAACAAAAAAAATCAAATAACCAAAGAATGAAGATGGTGAGGGATGGAGGTACAAAAATTGTATATAAATAAAAGAAGAAGAAAAATAGGGTAAAAAATAAAATAGAGAAATAGAGAAATTATGAGGGTGCAGGATACAAGAGTCAAGTTTTTATCCTTAAAGGCGCAATAACTTCA